GCTGGGCCCCCGGGGTCTGGTCCCGCCCGCCGCCCTGGAGGCGCTCACTAGCCGGGCTGGGGAGATGCCCAACAGGTTCTCCTCGTTGGCAGCCGCTCCGAAATGCAAGGGGCGGGGGGAGATCCTTCCTCCCCTCGGGAGAGGGGGCAGCCGCGACAAAATGGTGCCTTTCTCGACCTGAGCTGCAGGGCGAGATGGCAGGGGCAGGATTCAGGCCGGCCGGGCCCGGGTGAGGGTGCTGGGGCATTAAAAAAACAGACACTGAGAACAACAGAACAAGACAGATAATCCAGAAGTAAACCCATGTATGTAATTTTTGATAAAGGTGCTAAGAGTACAGAATGGAGAAAGGATAGTCTCTTCAATAAATGGTGCTGGGAAAACTGGATATCTCCACAAACAAGAATGAAATTGGACCCTGTCCTACACCATTAAAAAAATCTACTCAAAATGGATTAAAGACTTAAACACAAGACCTAAAACTGTAACACTCTTAGAAGAAGACATAGGGGAAATCTCAGCCGCGATCCGGCACCTGGGCAGCCAGCAGCTCGCTTGCAGGCTCGGGTGAAAAGCAGAGGTGCGCTCTCTCAACCTCCCCCTTCCCGCGCCACGCAGCGGAAGGCGGTGTTTACTCTGCCGCCCACAGCCCCCCCCAGCTTGCAGCATGTCTCCGGACACCCGCGCTTCAGGACAGCAAAGAGAAGGGGGTGGGCTTAGGTAGGCAGGAAGTGGACATCCAGGTCCCTTTGCACACCCCTATGTGGTGCATGCAGTCCCTTGATGGAGTTCAAGGGCAAGGCCTGGGATTCCAAACCTCAACAGAGAGGACAGAATGGGAAAAGAGCTTCTCAGCGCCCAGCTTAAGCCCTCTGTGCTAGGAATAGAAAGGGAAACAGCGGCCAGAAGTTTTCTGCCATCACAACTGAGCTCTTCATTCAAACAGCCATAACAGCAGGCGTTTATGTCTACACAGGCAGAGGGAAGCAGAGGGCTGAGTTGTGTATGAATCCAGTCAACACAGTCCGTCTGAACAGTGCCCCTTCCCTCGCCCTTTGCATTTTGTTTTGGGGAAGTGCTGCAGGTCTTCCTGTGGGTTTTGCTTGTGAAGACAGGACACTGCGGGGCAAGCTTACATTTGCTCTCAACATGCCTGGTCCCTCGGAGCCCTGTGCCCGCAGAGAGCCACTGCCACCCTGAGGGAATTTCAAAGATCCAGTGAATACAAAAAAGAGGCCTGTCTTTCTACTTCAACGAAGAGGAAAATACCGAATTCCCTACCACCCTTACCCTGCTCCCCCAAATTGCCAATTCCGTATTTGAAAGCAAAATTCAATCATTATTGTTATGAAACCAAAATCATGAAGTCACTGGAAAGCCAATTTGAAAAGACATTTCCCCGGTTTCGTCTTGTAGCCGGGATTCGTTTGGGCGGGTGTCATTGTAGGAGGAGACATAAGCAAATGCCTTGCTCAGTTAAGCTCCTGGAGTTTAGCTAGATGAGCCCAGAGGGCCCTGTGAGTTAATTATGTACATACAATGCTTCGGCTAACACCATTTAGAAAGTATTTGAAGTTAAAAACAAAAAGGGGGGGAACAAGTCCTCAACTGAGGCTGGGAATTGCCAATAGGTTTCCATGAAGAATAGATGCTCTGGCAGGTGGAAAATGGAATTGTCCCCTCCTCCAGGAAGCGACAGCATGTCTCTGGAAGGACAGAGTAGGAATATCCTTTGATATGATTGGAGTTCAGCTTGCAAGAGAGTCCATGTTATTCTCATCAGGTGGTTAAGTCTTATGTGCTTGTTTGACTATTCGTTCAAAAGTCACCTAGGACATTCCAGTAACAGATGAAGATTGGTGCACGTTGATTTAATCCTCTTCAGCACCAGTTGCTGAGCCTGGTTTTCCATGTGACAAGCTGTGTCCATCACCAAGGCCGCAGTGGTCAGCTCATCAGTAGTTGTACACTCGAGTTTCTCTTGCAGATTGCCACAACGAGGGACGGGGAGAGTGGGTGGAGTCGGGGAAAGCGAAGTTCATCTCAAAGTGGTGAGAAGACATCTTGCTTTGAGTTGAAATGAGCTTAAGTTGCAGCAGGAGGCTTTGGCAAAATCGTATTTGGGAGATTCTCCCTGTCATCTTCCTGGAACATGTGCTGGGTTGGAACAGAGCTGCGTGATGAATCAGGTAGGCCCAGGCTGTGCTTGAGGAATTTTCCACTGTAACCAATGAAAGGAATGTCCCCTCCATACATCAAGCCTCTGGGCTTCCTACATTTGCTCTTTCATGTTCCCTGAAAAGTTCCTCCTGCATTTATTCAACACTACAGCCCAACCTCCCTCAAGACAAAAGTTTTGGATTAGGTAGATTCAAAGGTTTCTATTTTGTGGATCACGATCACACTTTTCTCCTATGAACAACGGGGAACTAGCCCCTCCACCCAAAACCAAGAAAAATAAAGCTTTGGCTCAGGGCTTTAACACAATGACATGTAGTAAAGGAGGTAAGAGTCTGAAGGAAGCCCTGTACAATCCTTTAGTCTGGTAAGAGGGCGGCATAGACCAGTGGTCGACAAACTCATTAGTCAACAGAGCCAAATATCAACAGTACTACGATTGAAATTTCTTTTGAGACCAAATTTTCTAAACTTAAACTATATAGGTAGGTACATTGTTATTAACTTAATTAGGGTACTCCTAAGGCTTAGGAAGAGCCACACTCAAGGGGCCAAAGAGACTCATGTGGCTCGCGAGCCGCAGTTTGGCGACCACTGGCCTAGACCATTTCTCAGAAGACCCACTGACCTGCTTTCTATTCCTCCAACATGTCAACTTCTTTCCTAAAGCGTTTGGCATTTGCACTTGTCACCCTCTATGCCCCTTCCTTCTGTTCTTGGCATTCCTCAGCATCTCAGCTGAACTGTTCCGATTTTATTGAGAAACACTCTGACAACACCATAGTCCCTGCTGCTGTTTTCTGTCTCTACATCTACGTGGCCTTCTTCATGGCACATTGCATTTTGCAATAGCTGTTTTCTTATTGTTGTTTATCATTTCCTATACATCTCTGATAGTAAGTGTCTAGCACTTAGTAGATGTGCAATTATATTTATTGAATGGAGATAAATATTTCTTGAATGAATAAATTACTGAATTTGTTAAAGTGATATTTAGGTTTAGAGTTCTACCCTTACTAAAGTGCTTGCAATAAAAAAAAAACCCAACCCTGACAACAAAACCTGTTGTAAATCACTAATTTCTAGCTTGTAACTCCTATTCTTATTGAAATAATTGTTCTTACCCATTTTGTAAGCATATGCACACAAAAAAATTTACTGAGCATTTAGTAAATGCCAAGAGTTGTTCTAGGTGCTGGGGATATGGTTAAAACAAAAGTTTCTTCCTTCACAGAACCTAAATACTGTAATCTGAGTTTAATATGTGCTTTCTTAGAAATATAACAAATGCATATCAATCAATAACTATAGCTATATGTTACTATAGCATAGTGTTCACTGCCAAGGTTCCAATATCAGGCAAAGCTGATTTTTAGCCACTTATTGTGAATGTGAGCAAGTTACAAGATCTCCCTAAGCCATGAGTTGCTGTGGGGTTTTTTTTTAATCTATAAATTAGGGAGACAAATACAGGGTGTTCCAAAAAATGTATACACAGCTGATAGCTCCAACTTTTGAAAATGAAATGTATTTTAATAAACACTGCCTTTAGAATTATTCTAAGTGTGTGTACACATTTTGGGGAGACACCCGATACTTCATGGAGTTACTGTAAGGATGAGATGAGATAATGCTTGGAAAGAATACATTACTATTACTCATTGAGTATTTACTATCATCACCACCATCAATAGTAAATCAATATTTAAGCACCTACCACATCAGCTACTGGGATAGGACTGGAGGTTCAGCAACATCGATGCATAAGACGTATAATCAGCCTCTGCTACGTCATGGAACTTAGCGTCTCATTCACAGTTTATGTAAAGGGGCCCACAGGCTTCAAAAGGGTCAGCAGAGGATGCTCTGAAAGCCTGGCCTAATTCAGGCTTGTGCTTGACACAGAAAAGGCCAATTACAAATACACAGCCTTCTTACGTTACACTATTCAGCATGACAGCACGTGGACACATTCTTTTTTATCACCCTTGTCATGGTCCCCTTCCCCCAACACTCCCCTATACCCTTCCCCAAGTTAGATTAGTGCTGCCCACCCTGGAACCTTTCAGGTCATCCTGTCCAATTAGCACATTAAATATCTACAATTTTATTAAAACCTTTGACCTCAGCCAGTCTGGAGATTCTTAATATAGGCTTTAGGTGTCAGACAGTCCTGGTTTGTGTCCCAGCTCAGGCATTTATGAATTTCATGACCTTTGGCAAAGAATCTAACATCTTTGAGCCTCTGCATTTGCAAAATGGAAGAAAAAATAATAGGAACTACTTCATAGGGTTGTTGAGTGGCTTCAGCGACAATGTAAGGAAAGTGCTTACGATAGGCTTGGCCCATTGCCAAGCCTCACTAACATGTCAGTTCTCCTTCCTAGCAGTGGCTCACTGGGGTCTCCATCTGCAGAGAAATGGAGAGACGCACGGCAACTCAATCATTCATGTGAACAAAAGTGACCCAGAAACCTGAATTTTACTGCCTATCAATCCATCTTAATGAGCAGCTAG